CGGCACGGAAACTTTTACATTTACTTCAGCCTATTGAGATACATATGGTAAAAGCTAAAAGAAAGACGTACCCGTGTTAAGATTTTGAATATACAGTCGTGGCCATAACATATGCAACTAATACATTAGTTTAGAAAAAGTTGATATATTTTACCAATAAMTTTTGCARACCGTCGRTTGAATAWGRAATTATTAAAATTTGGTAYTTTTACTTTTATTTAACGTTTTTAAACAAAAAAAAAATATCATTCAGAAAAAAAATAAGACTACCATTTTTATTTCAACTCTAAAATTACGTGGACAAAACGTATGCAACTTCTTGGAAACAATTGTAAATAATAGGTTTGACTGACATTTTGTTCTAAATCCATAGTTTTTTTTATCACTTCCGTACATCTTCTCGGGAGTGAGGCCATTAAATTATCTATGATTTTCATCAGAATCTATTTCCAAGCTTCTTGAAGTATTTTAAAAAGTTCATCGCTGTTTTTAAGATTAGTTCTATCTACGTGCCTGTTAACCAGCTCCGTTAAGTTCTTAATAAGGTTGGGATCGGGGGGCTGTATTGGCCTTCGCACATAAGACATTCCATCACTGCCTATTAAGTTAAACTTTGACTCATCACTGAATAGAACCGTTTTCCATTTACTAATTGGCCAATTTAGATGCCTTTTTAGAGAATTTCAAACGAAACCATCGGTTTGTGCGAGGGACGACCACGTTTTAGGGAAGCTTTTAAGAGGCGCCTACGCACACTTCTTGTGGATATTCGCAAATATAAAGATTTAATTATTTGTTATGAGACAATTTCAGGATTTTTTCGCTAGTTGTACTATTGAATTGTCTGTTCTTTGGCTCGTTTTGCGAACGCGACCGCCTCAGTGCATCAAAGACTTCTTTTGTTGTAACGATTTTTTTATTATTCCTGAAATTGTGGTTTTGTGCATTTCATATTTTCTAGCGATGTTTTTTGTGCCATTCCTTTTTCAATATCAGAAATAGTTCTCTTCCAATGTTCAATTCCGAGATTGCCTCTTGCCATTTTCAATAAAACGAAAACCACGTTTCTTTGGCGGAATTAACAAAATAATTGGTTTACAAAAACTAACGATATTCCATTATTTATAAAGTGGAAGCACAATAGTAACGAAAAAATACCGCTATAATAGTGTTACTTGAACTCAAACTCACTCGGAGTTGCATATGTTTTGTCCACGTAATTTTAGAGTTGAAATAAAAATGGTATTCTTATTTTTTATTTTTTTGTGAATGATATTTTTTGTTTAAAAACGTTAAATAAAAGTAAAAATACCAAATTTTAATAATTCCATATTCAATCGACGGTCTGCAAAATTTATTGGTAAAATATATCAACTTTTTCTAAACTAATGTATTAGTTGCATATGTTATGACCACCACTGCACATCTGTATGTATTTATACTACAGCCTCATTATGTTCATTCCCAAGTAATTCAGTTTGGATTTTTAACTTTATTTAGCGTCAATAGTACAAGATTAGTGTTCACGAGATGGCTAAAAAGTAAAAATTATGGAATTGAGTAAATTAGTCATTACAAAGCCGGTTTTGACTTCATTTCCAACTAAAATAATTCAATGGAAAGAAATTTAGATTTACATTATATTCAGAATGCGTTAAAGTAACAACACAATTAAATTGAGCCAGGTTTTGTCCAATGATAAGATAACTTCCTGCAGTAATATTCTAAAAATAGGTACTTAAATACTTTAAGAATTATTTTAACAATTAATACGCACATTTTGTTTTTTGGAAGCTTAAGTATATAATGAGTATACCACATGTACTTCACTGATTGCTGATTCAAATTTCGTGCTTATCTATTATATATTCGTCCATAAGTGTGTACGAATGTATGTGTCCGTTACATGCATATGACAAGGATAAGTTCATGCTAAACTGAGTGAGCTTTAATCGTTGACCCCACATTGTCTTCTTAGCTATGTATGTACATATATATATACATATATGTACATATACAATATGTACATAAATGATAAATATATACTACATAGGCATGAAAAAGCTAAACACTACACTGTCTGCGTCAATTTTCTTTTAGTAAAGTGAACATTTGAATTCCGGGTCCATTGGTGCGTCTTGGCCACATTTAAAAACCCATGAGAATTCTTGGAAGTTCGATAGGGAGCCTATTACGCGATACATTCCAGGTGCATGGGAATCAGAAATTGCCAGTGCGGTACGGAAAAACGACTGGACATCGTCGCACCACAGCTGGGCGAAAGCGATGAAAAATAACTGTTCATTATTAAAATGTAATTGCGAAAATGTTTCGCTCCTCTCGATACCCGTTACATTTGCAGATCGTTGTGCATTTAGCCATCTCTGGTATGCTTCATAAGCCAGTTTTACACCTGCATTATCGGCGATATTCTCCGCTTGCGATACATCGTTCCGCAATTGATGTCCATCATAGCGGTATTTATGGTATTGCGCTTGGAAGCATTTGCGTCGTTCTTCAAATTGATATGTGGATTTTTCGTCCCACCAATTGCGTAAGTTGCCCAATTTGTCATAGTTGCGACCATCATCATCGAATCCATGAACCATTTCGTGTGCAATCAAATAACCGAGTGTGGCATACTTCAGAGCTTGCGGATAGTGTGCACCCCAAAAGTAACGTGGTTGCAAAAGTGCGACAGGTATTTTAATATTATTCTCCAGTACATTGTAGACTGGTGTAAAAGTGAATACTTCTGGCGCCTCCAGTGGAACTACGGGCCCATTTTGCCGTTGCAACTTCCTACTGCTTTCTCTTTGTAAAATTTTTTGCAAATTTTCGACGTAGTTATTACGCGTAAGTTCTATATCCACATATTCTGCGGTGAAGTTCTCCGACTCATAAGAATTGATGTACAATTTCATTGCATCTAATTTTTGAAGCGCATAGTCGCGTGTGGAATTTATAATCCAATCAAGTTTATTGCCTCGTAGTTCTGAGCGAAAGACCTCACGCACTTCATTCCACATGTCGTAAACCTCCTTTTCCACATCTGGATCCTTATAACGTTGATAAATCATATAGTCGACAAATTTACCAAAATATTTCTTAGTACGCTCCACGCACCACTTGGCCATATTGCCCTTCTTGACATCAACTATATAAGGTTGTACCATTTGCCATAATATATAGTTTGCAACCACGTGCGGTGGAGTCTCGGCTATTATTTTCACAACACTGTTCAAATATTTTTCATCATAAATGTAAATGTAGTCTGGCACTCTTTCAGCACCCAAAGCTAATTGTAAAAATTTTGCCAAATCTAGACTTTCGTTGTACATTTTGCGCAATTCACCGACTGATTTAAGGGACAGTAAATCGTGCAGTGTGAGACCCTTACGAGAATCAGATCCTCCTCGAACCAAAGCACGTTCAAAAGCAATGAGCTCTTTAGTGATTTTCGTCCCCTTTGTTTCTTCTATGCCAAAAAACCGTTTCATGTGCTGAACCGTTGTTATTTCCTGCAGCGTGCTAAGTATTTTTATGCCACTGCTGATAGAAAAATCGGGCGGTCCAATGTAAACTTTATTTCCAGTATTATTAACTATGTCGGCCATGATATCTACTGCAAGTATAATTTGTTTGCCATACTTGTGTTGTATTTTCGCCACTGACTCCCACCAACTGAACTCCTCACTCTTCCAGTCCTCACCATCCAACATCGGTAATTTGCCAAACTCCTGGTAGATACGTTGCAAAGCCACCTTATATCGGACTTCATCTTTCTCCACTAATTTGCATGCGTGATAAAAGTCTTTCAATTTTGTTTCAACCACATCATGTCCTCGAGGCTCACTGAGTACCAGCTGTAGGCGGCGGTCGAAAGCGCTTGCGATCAATTGAAATCGATCGGTTATTAGATGATTGAAGAGCTGTGCTGGGTGATGGCGATACCAGTTGCCGCAAGCATATTGATAAAAGTCTATACATGGATCTACTTTCGTATTGAGCATTGCATGTATTTCTGCGGCTTTAGCTTGTTGTGAGATATCTTTTGCCCACTCGGAGTCCAAACTTTTCATCGGTTCCTTAGTAGTATTACTCGCTGGGGCGTTATCAACACCAATTGGATGTAAAAATAATAATATTGACAAAATTATTACACACTCTGCATTTTTACTGCTTCGAAACATATTTGACCGGTCCGCAGCTCAATGGCTAGTTTCAACTATCGACAGTTATGGAGAATCAAGACTGCTACTTCAAACCTCCGAACATAGAGCGACTTCATCTCATTTACGCCTTATCACATTTTGAGCGATAGCTTTTGGGCGGGTCAGCACTGTTATCGCTTTGGAGTTGCTCGCTGACGCTGTGAATCTGACTGTCTTAGTTGTACGCAGCGGTTTGCTTGCTATGTGTTTATGTGACGATTACCCTTTGCAATAAAGTGTGTAAAGAATGTAGAGAAACCGAATAGTGTCTGTGTGGGTATGAAAGCTGCGATTAATAGATTATGGCAAATATACTATGATGAACAACACTGATGATCGCTACTTCTAACAAGACGGTGCGTGCAAAGTTTGGGAATCTAGAATTATTTTCCGTGGGAATATGTTAAACTAATGGCTTACGCCAATCAACCAGCAACGCTCGAGGAGCTCGGAGTTCCAACCGAAATGATACACATTGAAAATACATGTCTTTGAGTGTGAATGACCACCACCATCGCTTTTGAAGCGCTTATGCGGTTCTCTGATAAATACATACGTACAAACATAGTTATGAAGCTATTAAAAGCATTCTTAAAATTTTCTGTTGCGCATACCTAAGGTTGTGGGATCCATAAGTACTGCCATTTCCGTCTATTTTTATTCGTATTTTCATAAGCACAAACATTTAGAAAATCTATATATAGATATTATAAATACATATATAAATAAGTAAGTAAATACACAAATATTGCAACATATTTTCGCTCTTCTTAATTTAATTCACAGCCATTCCGATTTTCTACATTTTGGCAATTGTACCGGGTCTTATGCCTTGGGAGCAGGAATACCGTTTTTTATCATTTTGCCATCTTTTCGGTTCGGTAGCTCCATGGTGCGGAAGTTTTATATATCATCTGTTCATGAATATTGAAAGTGGAGAACACGTCTACTACACTTTGCTGAAATTGGATATGGTCGGTATATGGGTCAGCCAAAGTTTTGGTAAGTGCAGAACTTCGTAAAATTAAACGATTAAATATATTTAATGAAAACTCTTATAATACACAAAAGAAGTCAATGGTAATTATTAAATATAAATCTAAATGGAACGTTAGAAGTTTGTTCACATTTAAAAAGTATGAAACATATTGATATTTCGGGAATTAGTATACATAATAAAGGGCCAGGAATGGTCTGGTGTAGACAAACAGATATGCATTGAGTCATTAAACATCGATATTTTTAATCGTTTAATTTCGAAGCAGATGTAAAATGTCAACCAGAGAATCAGAATCTAAGCAAATTTGTATATGCACATACTATATACATATAACTCACACATTGACCGACATATTCGGCATTAGATTTGTTAGAAAATGAAGATGATTATATGTAGTATATGGTAGTTGGGGTACTATCAACTATATTTTAGCTATTAGCTATTACCATTCCACATACTTAAAAACTGTTTCCTGGCTTTCATTAAGGTCACCAATCACATAACGTAAAATCAAGCAGATATTCGAAAATCCTGATATTAGTTATATGTGGGTTGGGTTAAGTTTTATCCCAATTTTATCTATTTTAGGCACAAAGATACACTATTATGAGTAAAACACGTTCTGTAAATTTTATTGAGATAACTGAAATATTGGCCGATATATCCAGCATAAGCTGGCCGGAAGTTCATATATCTTTATATCAGGTATATGGGGGCTCAGGGAAGTATTGCCAGCTTCAACCCATTTTTGATACACAGAAGTACTATTGTCATTAAAGAACTATCGATATTTTCGGGTAAAAGTCAACTAGATATTCGCTTTTGATTTATACCGCTTTTCGCAGTTTTAAAAAGCACCGTTATATAGAATGTGAGTGGGGTTATCTTCCGATTTCATCGATTTTCATCAATTTTCACACTGTCAGTAGGAGTTCTTATAAGATTAGTACCTAGCAAATTTGGTTGTTGTAGCTTTAGTAGTTTAGAAGATATGTGCATTAAACTTTTTAGAGGGCGGGGATTCCTCCACTTGTTAAAAATTTTTTTGCGCACAGGTGCCCCCTGACACTGTAAATTTATGAAATTAAATGAAAATATATATGGGGATATAACTTTGCGCCAATACTGTCTTTAAAATACGTCATTTGTCTAAAAACTGTTGAAGTTCCCAGATACCGGATATATAAACCCCAGAGCCTGCGATTGACTTTTTACTAAAAATATTGGTCATTGTGTGAGATAAACACCGACCTCTAACAAGTTTAATGTACATACATAYATTCTAAGCCACTAAAGCTACAACAACCAAAATCGCCTCTCGAAAATATTATAAGAATTCCTATCGACAGTGTTAAAAGGGATGAAATCGGATGATAACCCCATCCACTCCCCATATAATGGTTCTGTTAAAAGCTACTAAAAGCACGATAAATCAATAACTAAATACGCTAGATACATTAGGACAAAACGTCGATTTAATATCGTGAGCGGTTTACTCACTTTACATAAATGTAATAGAAAAGGTGTGGGGATAGTTGGCTCGCAAAGCTTTCGACTCTGGTCATCAATTTCCTTAAATTATATTGGAAAATTGTACGAATCGCCACTCAATCGGATCATTGAGATCATGCTCAACAAGGCGGGTTCGAATAATTTCAAAAAATTGGTATTGGCAAAAAATATATTTTAATATTAAAAATTTTTTTTTAATTTAAATTGTTAATTTTTTTTTTCGAAAAAAGACTATTAAAAATTATGAAAAGAAGGTGAAACACTAATTGTTTTTTTTTATTTAGTAAACAAATTTTTAGAATTCTAGCTTTTTTAGTTTTGATAGAAATTAATCAAAACTATTTGAAACTGAAGTGTTCTAATGTTTCTAATTGACTCGCAGTGCATGTTCTGTTTTATAATATAATAAATATCTCTTCAAATCGGCGCACATATTCACAAGTTTTACTAATTCTTAAGCGATAACGAAGTGTACATTTTACAATCAACCAGAGCCGTACTTGACATTGTACTTTGTAGTTTCGATGTTAGGTTTGAACACTTCCGTAAAATCATGGTCATGAGAATAATAATAGCCAAAGATAACTTGTACATAAAATAGTTATTATACATAGTACACAAGTACTCACATGTACTTGTAGCTATTATAGATTTAAACCAAGAATATCGATGCCCTCCCGACACCGCAATATATTTTCAATATACAACACATTTTCGCTTCGGGATCATTCGCGCATTTGGTTTACAGTCAAATTCCTTTGCGAATTCATCGAAATTCGAGAGCATTCCAATAACGCGAACCTCCTCGGGCGGATGCACATCAGTCGCAATTATAATTTCACGCCAATTGCGATTCACATCGGTACACCAAACTTGGCTTAAGCTCAAGAAGAATAATTGTTGCGGCGACAAATTTATGTTTGGCAGTCTCTCATGCTGCATTATCGTCGAATTATCACTATGCTGCCTAATCCAGCGCTGAAACGCGTTGTAGGCAATACGTAGGCCCACATTGTCAGCGATATTTTCATCCTGTGCATTTATTATTGGCAATTTGCGACCATTATATCGGTATCCGCTGTACTGCTGCCTAAGGCATTCCTTTCGTTTGGAAAACTCTTCGATAGAAGTACGATCCCACCAGTTGTTGAGGTTGCCTCTGGAGTCGTATTTACGTGCTATATCATCGAAACCGTGAGCCATTTCATGTGCAATAACAAAGCCCATAGTGGAGTATTTCACTGTTGACGGGTAAGCATGGTCCCAAAGAAAATGCGGTTGCAGAAAGGAGACTGGAATAAGAACTCTATTATATTCAGCTGCGTAGGCAGGCGAGAAGCTAAGAGTTTCCCCCACATCAAGTTTTGGAGTTTCTAAAAGACGCAAACGATAATTGCGTCCCTGTAACTCTAAAATATTGACGACATTATCGAAGTAGCTATCAGTGCTGATTACCAAAACATCGTATTGTTGCTCGAAATTTTCTTGCTCATATGAGTTAATCTCCATGGACATGGCCGATAATTTCTCCAATGCTTTGTCACGTGTGACGACCGACATCCAATTGTTTACTTCCGATTTCAATAATTCACCAAAAGCACTTTTTAATTCAAACCATAGCATTGGTAGTTCAGCAAAAATTTGTTGGTTTTGGGTGAATAATTGTTGGTATATTACGTGGTCCAAGTATTTCACAAAGAAACGTTTGGTTCGGTCCACGCATTTGTTTCGATGCTTGTCGTCGGAATCATTTACTTCCATACGAAACTCCTGTAATAGCTCCCACATAATATAATTAGCAACAATTTCTTTTGGTGTTTCCTCGATAACTCTGCGCAAGTTGTTTATGTATGATTCCACATATGCATAAACAGGCAGCACATATGGATAACCCAGCCATACATTAACGTAATGTGTAAAATTAATCGTTGGTTTATAGTTATCGGTCATCACTTCAAGTAAAGTCAGTTGAGTTTTATCTTCCATCCCAAAACCCCTATCTGCATCGATCTTACCTTCTGCAAGTCTCCTTTCAAAATCCACAATTTCCGTCGCTGTTTTGGAGGCCATCTGCATGCTCATTCCCAATACTGTGTACATTTCCATTTGCCTGGCGACAGCTAACACCACGTAATAATCAGCAGCTCGTGGTGTCACTAACTTATCTAGTTGGCCCAAATATAAACGATTTACTTCATTGTTGGTCAAATCGGCGAATACATCTGCACCTAAGATGATCTGTTTACCATATTTTCGGAGAATAACTGCCACCACTTCCAACCAATCGAATTTTTCAGCCTCCCAAAGTGATCCCTTCAATGCCGGCATACCCCCGAATTCTTCTAATACAGAAAGCAACTTCTGTCGGTAGTTTTTTCGTAAATCTGCTTTATTCATACATGACTCAAAGAAATACTTTACTTTGCGATCCATATCCGATTCGCTAGTCCGTTTCGGTTTACGCATCCAACGCACCACTCGCCTGTTATAGGCGTTCTTTAACTCATTAAATAAGCCAGTTTTCCCATCCGAAAAGCGCGCTGGGTTTATTTCCTGCCAATTACCACAGGCATAACGATAAAAGTCATCACAAGGATCCATCCGAGGTCGCATATAATTAACCATTTCTGCAGCCTTTGAAAGTCGTAAAATTTCGCGCGCATTTTCTGTGTTGAAATCGTAATCAGTGTTGATTATTCGTGCAGCGCCAGCAAATTCTGTAATGAAATAAACTAAGCACACTAAACACCGCAAAACCTGCCAAATCTGCTGTTTGTCTGGACACATTGTCGTAACGAATGCTGAGTGCGGTTTGATGCTGAGCATTTTTCGTGACTGCCACTTGCAAAGTACAACTATCGCAAAAGTAATACCCGCTAGAATTGAATTCGGAAACAGACATAGGTTATCGGCAAAGCATAAAAATTTCCTATTTTCACTCGCTATGAGCACATACATTTATATGATACTTGTATACATGTGTGTTCATATGTATTTACATTTTAAGACATGTATGCTCGCACATATGTATGTAGTTATTGTACGCCCACATTTCAAGGCGGCTGAAAAGTTCCTATCGCCTCTTATGAGAGGGCGTCGCTACAATTGAATCTACATATATGTTTTGTTCTTATACTCTTACCTTCAAAATATATAAATATGTTGATATAATAGGCGAATTTGTGACGGAAAATTGCTATAGATACCTGTATCTAGGAGTTGCACACAAAGTAAGCAATCGCAAAAAATTTAATGAGTTCCGATCAAGTCATATCAGCGCCGAACATGTATACCCTCCAAAGGAGTTACAAACAACTACACATAAGCAGTATAAGCATAGTAGAAATTGCTAAGGTAAATCGAGGCTTTCAAACAGCTGAAATAGCTGACATGATAGGCAAACGAAGGCTTCGTGCAAAGTGAGTGCCTTACAACTCACAATTGGAACAATGCGAATTGTACTGATATTTCTTGTGAAGTGAAATAATTACCCTAATATATTTATTATTGAATTGTTGAACATTTATTCTGTGGAAAAATTGCCATATTTTCTAGTTCTTGTCCAACCGATTTTTATACTCTCGCAACAAAGTTGCTAAAGAGAGTATTATAGTTTTGTTCACATAACGGTTGTTTGTCAGTCCTAAAACTAAAAGAGTCAGATATAGGGTTACATATACCAAAGTGGTCAGGGTGACGAGTAGAGTTGAAATCCGGATGTCTGTCTGTCCGTCCGTCCGTCTGTCCGCCCGTCCGTCTGTCCGTCCGTCCGT